AACAATAATTCTTTAATATTATCTCTCTGAGTTCTGACTCCTCAAAGTGAACATTAATTTAAAGCCACATAGGGTCAAACTCGTAGGGCCTATTATGCATGCTTCAGAAGCCATCTCTGGAAGAGGATCTGAAAAGCAAAAAATGCCGTTAAAAAATATAATATGTCCTCAAATGAATGTTCTGAAAACAAATCTGTGTCAAAAAGAAAGATGTTTCTTTTAATTTACCATCTAGAATTACGAAATTAGAAAGCACAGGAATATCTTGCACTTACCACACACCGAAGGCGCAGATTCATCTCCCAGAATGGCTTCTTGCACCTGTCCAGCAGTACAAGGATCTGTAATCACCAAAAAGAGTTTTTTATGTACTATAATTTGCCCTCAATTGGCACTAATAACTGTATATTGAAAGGAACATACCATGAGAAACGTCCATAAAAACTTGAGGTGACACCTCACATGGGTGAAAAAGATCTGAAAATGGAGACAAACTTGAAATCTATCCCATCTTCAATAAATTCAAACAAAGTAATAATTGAGGTTCTTAAAGATTACAGCAAATATTTACCTTTCACAAGGCTAGAATAAGCATCTGCCGCACTTGCTGTAGAAGCATGTTCAACAGCACTAGAGCCTGTATTAATCAACAACAAATTATTGCCAATACATTATGCTTTCAATAGCAGGCTTCTTTTTGCATTTTAGATACAAGAGACTTACCATTTTCAGTTTGAAAAGCTGCCTTTGTACAAGGATCTGAAAATTAAAAAATGCTGTCTCATAGCCTCACAACGTTCGGCGGGAAAGTGTTGGGTGGCGCGGTAGGCTGTGCGCGCATGTGATTCCTAGAGAATTAGTCAGTTTTTGCCTGTATTATGCGGTTCATGGGACTTGTCACATTTGTTATTTACAATGTTTTTTGCTATTTGTTTCATTTAAGTTCTGGCTGCGAATTTCGTCGACAAATTGGATTTAAGAAAGCACTATTTTACCCACACATCAAGTCGATATATATATCCTTTGTGAAAACGGTTCGAAGTAAATATTATCATGATCTTAGCGATGATAATAAGGCGCTGCTTTATAATAAAATTAAATGTATGAAACATTCCAGGGTTCCACGAGCCCTTTAATGGGTAATGGTAAAAAATGCCAACGAATTTTGAGCCCCTGGCTATTAGCGTAAAAGTGACTCCTTCCGTATATTTTTATAGTAAACTGTTGGCATTTTAAATGCTTATTTTAGAAATTTGAATTAATTATTATCGAAATAAATATGACATATATTTAAGTTTTATCCTCTTTGATCTGAGGGTGATATAATTTTACATTCCTGATTTTTGGGAACAGTAGGGCATCTAAAAAAGCTTTCTCTGTCTCTCCTGGCCTTGCCCCAGTCCTCTTTCGAACACAACTAGGTTATCGTGAAAATTCAACTTTATTTTAGAGAAAAATAACATCTCACAGCGGGAAAGTCTACCTAAGCAAAAAAAACAACAATTTGTAAGTCCTTACAGGCAGAGGAAAACTTTCAACGAAGAATGGTTACGTTTTAAAAGAAAATCGACACTTATTATGAGTTTTCGCCAAAAGCTCACGACTTACAGCAGCCTGTCGCTTGCCGCCCAGAGGGGACGGTGTTGCCCTCCAAACTACTAAGTCGCGTGTTCTGAGCATCTGTGTCCATCATGTCCAGAAAACGTCCACTCGTTACAACTTAAACATGAGGGCACCTGCCGCTCAGGTGACGATTGCAAATCATGGTGTGGCCAAGCCACTCACTGATAGAAACATTTTTACTTCATACCTCATTTATAAAAGTAATAATCCTTTTCTTTTTAATTTCAACATTTATAATAATTTCAACCCTTATAAACTTTTGTAATTTCAAAGAATTCATAGAATTTAATAAAAATACGAAATTTTTGTAAATACACAGCAATCTGATAAAAAACTTTATAAAAAATATGGAGCCATTTTGTAGAAAAAATTAAAATGGATTTCCAGGCCATCAATTACCGGAGCCGCTGTATCCGCTT